AAATTCCTCTTGTAAAATAGTAAGGCCAAATAATATATTATAATTTTAAATAATTATTATTATTTTTATATAACTAATTAATTTTTTATAAAGCTTGTTAATATACTAAAAATTAATAGCTTACTTACTACTACAGCAAAGCTATCTTTTAATACTAATTTTAAAGTAAATTTAAAGCTAATTTTTATTAAATTAGTATATTATTACTTAGCCCACGCGAGCAAGCAAAAAATACACTAAATTACTTAAAATATTAAAGGCCTAAAGCTTAAGAAAAGCGGCCTTAAGTATTCTTGTAAGCCATACTTAATAAATAAAAATTATTATTTTTTATTAAAAAATTACCGCGAGATTTATATAAAACCCGGAGATTTTATTTATTTTAATATTTATAAACTAATCTTTATATATAAATATAATAAAAAATACTACTTTATAATATTTATAAATAACACAACCTATTTTTACTAGGTATTTTTACTTTATAATAAAAATAAATTACTAAAAAAGTATATTTTTTTAAAAAACTATCTTAAAACCTAATATAATATTAATATAAAACATGTTTATAGTAATAACGCTGGAAAGCATGTTATACTTACTAAATATTTTTAAAATAAAAATAAAATATAAAACCTAGCGCTTATATACAATCCTTAGCTTAATAATATTTTTAAAATTAAGAATTATTACCTTATAAAGCTGCTTATAGTAGTTATAATAATATATTAAACTTTTAAATATTTTTAGGGGCACCTTATCCTTGTAATTATATTTTTTTAAAATTATATTTTTAATAATTATATAAAAATATTATTTTATAAAGCTTTTATTAATAAATAACTTAATATTTTAAAGTAGCGCGCTTTGGGTTATAAATACTAGTATTTTATTTTTAAAAAAAAATATTAAATAAAACTAAATTCTTACATGGCTAAAGGCCGCTTTATTAGTTATTTAAACTTTTTTTATAAAGTTTATAATATTAAAATAAAAAAAATTAAGTACATGCGCGATGTTATTTTTAAAAAGATTAATAATATTAAGTTACCTTAAGTAATTACCTTATATAATCTTAACACCTTAATATATTAGTATAAATAAATTAATAGCATTAAAAAGGCTAAATATATGCCTGTAAAGTTTTTATAACTATATAATTATTTAAATAAATTATAGCCTTAATTAGCTTTATTTATACCTTAAATTTTTATATAAACACCTATTAAAATATTTATAAAGGCTTTGCTTATAATTTAAAAAAGCACTTATAACTTTAAAAAAAAAATCCTTACTTAAATAAAGAAGTATAAAATAATAAGTATTTTACCTTTAATTATTATAAAAAATAATTTTAATAACGCTTGTTATCCTCCGGATTTTTAATATTTATTTTTTTTTATAATAAAAAACATTCTTAATAAGAAAGATATATATAATCTAACTTTTATTAAATATAAGTGTTATATTATAGCTAAGATTTATAGTTTTAAGCCCTTTAAATATTTTATATATATTATAAAATTATTTTAGCATCTTAAAAAAGCGCTAAATATAAATAGTATTTAGTTTTTTAGTATTAATCCTAAAATAAAAAATAAATTCCTTGCTTTTCTTGCTACGGCGCCCCTAGTAATTATTAATAAAATTATATAGTAAATTTAGTACTAAATTAATATTTTAATTATTATAGCTATATTTAAATTATTTAATACTATGTTATTTAAAAATCCTAATTTCTTTAAGTTTAAGCCTTAAACATATAAAAAGGCGCTTAATTATAAAAATGCAGAACTTTAGTATAAAGCATGTTATAAAAAAATATACTTGCTGCTTTAAAATAGTACTTAATATATTATTAATAAAAAAAAATATAAAGCTATTACTAACTTACTAGGTCTTTAAACTTAAGCATAATAATACTTATAAAGCACGCCTAGTTATAAAAAACTTTAAGTAATATTATAGCAAGAATTTTTATAAAGTATATACTGTAGTAGTAAAGCCTATATTTTTTAAAATATTTATTATACTTATAGTACTTTTTAATTAGTAATTATACTTTTAAAATATTATTACTATATTTTTTTATATAAAACTTAAAAAAGTAATTTATATTAACCTTTTTAATAGCCACAAGCAAGCTGGTAAATACAGCCTTTTATTAAAAATAATATATAGTTTTAAGTAATTACCTAAAAAATAATATATTTTTTTTTAAACTTTTATTTTTTTAAAATTTAAACGCCTGCACGCAAATTATTTAATATTTATTAAAAATAACTTATACATTTTTATATATATTAATAATATTTTTATACTTTTTAAAAATAATACTTAGTACAAAGCTTTTAAGCAGGAGTTTTTAAAACTTTTTAAAGTAATAAATAATAGCTAAGTTAAAAACTACTTAAGCATTAATATTTTATTTAGTATAAATAAAAATAAAATATTTTTATTATAATACTTTTATATTTTTAAAATTTTTAAGTACTTTAACTTAAAAAACTACAAGCCTTTTCCCACGCTGTTTTATAAAAAAAAGGTTTTTAAAAATTATAATAGCCAGGCCTTTATAAATAATATAATGCTTTATTAAGCTATAATAAAATACTTAATTTAGCTTATAATTTATACATGCTTTAATATTACTTACATAATCTTTAAAATTATAAAGTATATGTATAATCCAGGTTTAAAACACCTAATTACTATTAAGTATATATATTATTATTTATAAATTACTTTTTTTTTTACTTTATACTATTTATTTAATAAAGGTAGCCTATAAAATTATACTAACACTAACTAGGCCGGCTCTTATTTAATAAAAAAAATCTTAATATTTAAATATATTTTTAAACTTACTAGTGGTTTAATTTTTTAAGTATTAAAGTATTAGCTTAGTATAGTACTTTTTTTTATTAAATTAAAGTATATCGCGCAGGCGCTTGTAACTTAAAAATTTATTTAAATTTAATTACTTTTTATTAAGCTAAATATTAAATACCTAAATTTTACATGTATATATTTTCCTAGGCTTATAATTATTCACGCTAATAATTAAAAAATAATTACTATATTTAAAAACTTTAAATATTACACCTGCTTAAAATATATTAATATTTATTATTATTTTCTTCACCAGGAAGTATTAAATAAAAATATTAAATTTTTATATATACTAATAATAAAGCAGGCCGCTAATAAACTTATAAAGCTATTTAAAAAAGTGGCCTATTAATATTTTATTTAAATAATTAATATAAAACACCTTACTATACTATAAAATAACTTTATACTACTACTTTAAAAAACTAAAATAGTCTTATTTATTTACTACCCCGGGCAAGGGGGGTATTAAGGATTACTGCCCGTGGTCACGTGACCCGGGTGCTTGGCGCTCCTGAATATCTTCATGTTTTGTAGTCACCACCTAGCTTAGTTAGTTAGTCAGTCAATTCATTCACTTCATGGCTCATCATTCCTTTCCTCACCTATCTCGTGCACAACGCAACAGTCTCATAAAGGCATCACCACAGAAGAATGCACTCCCACCCCCCGAGACCTCAACCCGCCCTGACGCCGGCAGCGCTCGCTTCCAGGTGCTAGAGACCGAGATCACACAACTACGAAGGGCCATGGGGGCTGGGTTGGGTTCTTGGGCTCCTGGATACCGGTACGGCACCGAGATACGAGGACAGGACTGGTGAGGGCGTCTGAGGTGGCGGGGCCCATCGCCAGGCCTGCTGTGCGTGTCCACTCTTGAATCGGGACTCCTTCCCACGACGCAGGGCTTGCACCCCGCCGATAAGTCCGTATCGCGCGAAGCAAGCGGGACGATGGAGGCTCCGACCCACATGAAGCCCCTTGATGCCGTAGCAACCTTGATGTGAGCGGTATGCCTAGAAGGATCGGGAGCTGCGTATAACCGGATTGCGTTGTGCCGCGGAGGGCGTAGGGGAGCTAGGGCTAGTGTGAGGCTCCGGTCAGGTCACAGAGACAAGGGATCCGGGATCCAGGGGTGCTGAGCTTCCGCGTCGAGAGATGTTGTCTACCCCGGAGCCCGTGATGCTGTTGCTGTTCAGGGAGAATCCCCGCTGAGGAAGGATGGGACCTACCAGGTAATAGACTCCGATGCGCCGGGCCGGTAACTTATAGATGGGTGAAGGTCGTCCGGGTGTATACCCCAGGCCGTAAAGCCCTCTTTCTCAGCCTGTACAACGCGACGCCTAACCCTTAGACAGACATTCAGTCGTTCAATGTCGCCTTTTGAGTTTTGGGTTCACGCCAATGCCCTTACCTTATATCTGCTGAGGGAGATGATTATGATCATTCCTTCTTGCCCTATACTCGACCCTGGCTGTGCGCGCCTGATTCTGTGACGGGGGAAATGATTCGGTTGAAGGCTTGTACAATATTAGACAGTGTTAGCATTTCAGGCTGTTTGTAAAGTCCACATGTGTAGTTCATTACAAATTGCGATCTTTACTCATTCCTCATTCCGTGGGGGGAAGCCCTTGGAATCACACGGGCAGCAGATGTCTTGAGATAAATCACGCTATTTACATCCTAGAACCGTGAATATAAGTCTCGGTACCTTGGAAAGCGCCAATTTGTCTGCTCTAGTTCGGCGTCGGCACTGATGTTGATTGTAGGTACCTAGGTAGGTCGGCAAGCCGAGAACGCCCCGGCATAGGACCGGAGACTGCAGCTAACTCGGCTTTAGGTGGTTTGTTGATAAGGCAGGTGACTCTGCCAGAGGTATCTCGGAGTCTACTGTAGAAGACCGTGCTTTGTATTGAAGTATCAGGACGGGCCTATAGCCAATTGGTTTTTATGGCCTGGCGGAATATGCGCACTTTGAACACTTTGGCTGGTATAAGTACTGTACGATGATATGTGTATGTATCTATATATGCTACTTTTGCTGGATAGCAGACCTGGAATTCACTGGGTAGACATGACTCAATCGAGGATCAAGCCATCGATCAAAGAAGTTACACCTCATCCTCCAGCGGCGTCACCCCCTCCTCCGCCATCTCCCGCGCAACACGCTCAATCTCACCCATAACCCTAAGCACATTCCCGCCAACAACACCCGCCGCATCCTGCACACTAACACCCCGCCTCAACAACTCCCGGATCAAATCCGGGTACTTGCTCACATCCTCCAAGCCCTTGATCGTCCGCTCCATGCCATCAAAGTCCGAGCCAAGACCAACATACTTATACCCAATCAAATCGCCAACATACTGGATGTGATCCGCTACATCGGCAAGCGTCGCAGCCGTAGGGTCATCGCAGCGCGTATACTCGTCGAGAAAGGTAATCATGATGACGCCGCCGTTTGCCGCAAGACGGAGGAGGACGTCGTCGGGGACATTGCGCTCATGCGGGCAGAGGGCGTAGACGGAGGAATGCGAGAAGATCACGGGGGCTTTGGAGGTGTCGAGGGCGTCGTGCATTGTTTTTGCGCTGACGTGCGAGATGTCGACGGCCATGCCGAGCCTGTTCATTTCGAGGACCATGTCGCGGCCACGGGGCGAGAGACCGTTGTGCCGGGGTTGAGCTGGTGTCGCGCTGTCTGCGTACTCATTGTGACACATGTGCGTGAGAGTCACGTAGCGCGCGCCGAGGGCGTGGTAGAGGCGGAGGGTGGATGCGCTGGACCCGATTTGGTGGAGGCCCTCGACGCCGAGGAAGGAGGCGATTTTGGACGAGGTCTCGAAGGTGTGGCGGAAGGCGGAGGTGTCGGGGACGATCTCGAGGTGCTGGGGGTAGAGAGCGGCCAGACGGTGGACAAGGTCGATTTGCTGGAGGGTGTCGTGGACGTGCTCGTAGTCGGGTTCCGGGGGCGAGTCGTGACTGGTATGGTTAGTATTCCGCACCAAGTGTTTTGAGATGAGGCGCGGTTACCATGCTACATAGACACTCCAAAACTGCCCTCGAACGCCACCTTTAGCTAGACGCGGAAAGTCGACATGGTAGGGCAGCTCGATCTGATCAGAGAAGTTGCTCTGGTAGATATGATTGTGGTAGAACGAACGGATGAATTCGGGGAAGTCATTGTGGCCGTCTAGTCAGGTCAGTTATCTACTAATGAAACAAGATATTCTGTGTCACGTACCTGTCAATGGCTGCAGACGCAGCACCTCCTCGACGGGGTCGTGACAGGTATGACGGAGTGCACCGGTATACCGAGCGAGCCCGTAGCACGCCATCAGGCCAGCGGTGGCGATGCCGAGGACGCGCCGTTTCCACGAGGAGCGCTCGAGCGCCAACGGAGGGGAGTCATACTGTGGGAGGGCGACAGTTTTCTCCATGGTGGGCTGACAATGGAGAATTGAGGTTGTTGCAGGAGATAAGCAGAAAGTCGGAGACGGAGCGAGACGGAATGACGGATCGCATTAGCGGCACATGACCCGTGCGGAGATAACTGTACGCCTTTACAGTCGCCAGGTGTTGGACGAGAGGTGGAGATCCCTTGGATCTCCGCGGCAAACTTAGTTGGATGACTCTAACTAACCTCCAAAGATAGGAAAAGAATTAACCTTTAATTTTAGCCGGATTTCACGGTCTAATTAGGAAATAAAATATAAAAAAAAAAAGAAATAAATATAGCTTAAATTTTTTTATATTTAGCTATTAAACTCTTATATTCTTATTTATCTTAAATTTTAAAAAATCTTATATTTTATTTACCCCTTAATTTTTATCCTAATTTTACATAACTAATTTTTACCTAAGGTATTTATAACTTTAAAAGTTATAAGCCCGGCTTATACTTTACTTTTTTAAATATTATTTATATAATTATTTCTAAAGCTATTTATTACCTAAATTTAAACTTTTAAAGTTCTTTTTATTTACTATATAATATATTATAAAAAACCTTTAATTTTTACCTATAAACACCTAGTTTAACGCTGTTATTTTAAATAGCCTTAATATATAACGCCCATGGTATTAAATTACTAAATTAATGGCTATAGGCCTTATAATATAAAATTATATTAATTTTTTAATTAATAATAAAAACCTACTGCCTATTTTTGTTGGCCCAAGGCTAATTTTTAAAAATTATTATTTTAATATTTTTAAAAAAGGCAAACTTTAAATAAGTTATTTAATAGCTAATAAACAAGGTAAATTTTATATTATTATAAAAAAATATCTTACTTAAAAAAAAAAATATAAAGCTTTGCTAGGTATAATAATAGCTTATATAACCTTAATTATATTTAGCTTTTACTAGTAACTTTTATATAACTAAAAATATTTATATGTAATGCTTTAACTTTTTATAAAGTATTATATATAATTTAATATTACCTGCTAAATAAAAATTAAGGTAAAATAAAAAAAGGCAGCTATTTACTAAGGCCTTTTTATTAAAAAGTAAATTAATAATTAGTATAACCGCTGGGTTAGTGTATTTACTAAAATTAAAAAGTTTAATATTTTTACTAGTAATTAAAATACTAACATACTTTAAAACTTTATATATATTACTATAATTATTAATAAAAAGTTTAGTTAAAGGCTTCACATGGCCATTTTTTTTAAAAAAAAAAAAAACTTTACTAACACTATTAAAAAGTTTAAAGTATTTTATATGCTTTAGGCCATTTATATTATATATAATAAATTTAAATAATAGCTAATAAATGGCACCTTTACCACGCTTAAAAAAAATAACTTAATAAATAAAAAAAATAAAAACACCAAAAATAATAAGAAATTTAAGAAAAATAGTAAAAATAAAAATAATAAATTAAAGGTAACATGCCCGGTATATAGCTATTTATATTTTATTACTTTTTACTAGTATTTTAATACTAAAAAAGCTTTAAAAAATTAGGAGCCTTAAGAAAAAACTTTATAAAAAGTAAAAAAAAATATACAGGATTTAACTATTAAAAAAAAAGTACTAAATACCTTTAAAAAATCTAGATTTAACACTATAATATTTAAAATTAAGGTTAAAAAAAATAACTCTAAAAACCCGGAAAAAGTTATAATAATAATTACCTATTTATTATTTAATAGCTTATAATACAGCCTATATAAAAATATTATTACTAACTTTAAATTTTTTATACATGTTACTAATAACCTTACTAAAATAATTAATATTTGCAATGCCTTTAAAAACAACATTATTTTTATTAATAATATTATTAATAAGATTAAAAAGTTTAGTATATTCCATGTTTTTTATAAAAGACTAAATAGCTTAAAAAGGCTTCTAAAGCTTAAAAATTACACCTATATTCCTGGCTTTTATACCACTATTATATTCCTTAATAAAGCCATGTTAGTAGATCTATATTTTAGTAGTTATAAAAAAACTTTTAAAAACTTAAAAAAAATAAACTTTTATATACTTAAATAATATTATAAATTATATATACTTTATTACAAGAAATTTAATATTAATAATAACAAAAAGATTAAGGCCTCTTACGCCATAATAAAAATAAAAATTTAATACTTTATAACTTTAAAAACACTATTAAAAAGCCTAAAAATTTAGCATAAGTATATAGGCTATTTTAATATTAATATAGTATTTAAACTCCTAATATTTATAATTAGTATATAAATTAATCCGGCGCCTTAGCTCTTTAGTAAAAAGCAAAAAAAAAAACTACTTTACGTGCCATGCAAACTCTCGCAATTTTCTAAGTAAATATTATAAATTAAATTAACTAAAGTAACCCAACCCTTTAAAAGAATTTATTTTAATATTTTTATTTTTAAAGCATTTTAGAATAATATAAAATACACCTTTTATTTTTTAAATAATAYTACTTAAATAAGGTAAATAGTACTACACGCTAAAAAAAATAATTACTAGCATGTTATTTAATTACTTAATACCTATACCTTTAGGTAATTTAGCCTTTATATTTAGTTTTTTTATATAAATAATAAAATATTACAGCTCTTAAATAACTTTAAATTTATTAAAAAATAATAGGGTTTAGCCTTTAAAACTATTATTTTTAATATACCTAAATAAAATAGCGCAAGCAAGTAATTAAAAGAAATTATTTTATAAAAAGCCAAAGCACTTTTATTAGCCGCTAATATACCTTAAAATTTTATATTTAAAACTATAAAAGTATTTATTTATATACTAAATTACACGCCTATAAAAAATAAAAAAAATAAATAGTTTATACCACTCTAAAAGTTTTAAGTATTAATAAGTAATACTTACCTAGTAAATATAGCTAATATTTTTAAGTTTAGATTACTTGCTTACTAGCGGCTAAAAATCCCTAACTTTTATAAAATAAAGCCAAGAGCAGTTATTAAATATTTTTATAAATATAAAAAAGCCTATAATATTTAAAGGATTTAAAACCCTTGTACCAAAGCTATATAATATTTAGTTATTTAAATAAAAAATATAGTATTTAATAAGACAAGAACCTATAACAAGAATAATTTAATTTATATAACTAGTTTAAGATACGCTATCCCAGCATATATTAATAAAAAAAAAAAAAAAAACTAGTTAATATACTATTTTTTATTAACTTTAAAAATAATTTTTTTAAACTTAATAATAAAAATAAGCCTACTCCCGAGCCTAATAATATAAAAATAGGTAAGAATAAAAAGGTTAAAAATAATAAACCTCACGCTAAAATTAATGCTTAAAATAAAGTTATTTTTAACTTACCTAGTAATTTAATATTATATAATAATAAAAACCTTATAATTTTACTTATTTTTACTACTAGCCTAAGCTTAGCAAGTACTATAATTAATTAAAGCTCTTAAACCTATAATAACTATAAAATTATTTTAATAATACTTAACTAGGTAGTAAAAAGCAAAAAAAATAAAAAAATACTTAACTTTAAAAATAATAGCGCTAAAGGGCTCCTATAACTAAAAAATAATATAAATAAAAATAATAATAAAAAAAAAATATTAACATTACTTTTTTTTAAAAAATCTAACCTAAAACCGCACAAAACTAATATAAAAAAAGGGAAGTAAAATTTTAATCCCAGACTCCTAACTACACAGGTTAAATTAAATAAAAAGGCCTAATATAACCGCCTATACTAAAAGCAAGATTTAAAAAATCTTATAAATAAAGACCGCCTAAGATAAAGGCCTTTTTTTAAAGTTTTTTATACTAAACTTTTTTACTAGCTAGCAAAAGACTTTACTAAATATTATATTTTTTTTTACTTAGTAATTTCTAAGCCTCCCGGACTATTATAAGAGGTATTAAGTAAAGTTATTTATTAAAATTAGCTTTAAAAAAAACTAAAAAACTAAGTAAAACTTATAAAGCATTTATATAAAAACTAGTTTATAAAGGCCACTAAAATTAAATTTAGTATTTTTAAAAAACTTTATACTTTTAAAATTATTTTTATATTAAAAGGCAAGATTATTATACTACTTATATAAGTATTTAAATATAAATTTAATACTACTAGTTATTTAAATAAATTTAAAGCATGTTTTTGCGCTAAAAAAGATCTTTAACCTAATAATTATACTAATATTATAATAATAACTTTTATTACTTAATTATTTTAACTTATAATAGTGCTTGTTGCTTATTTTAACCTTAATATTATTTAATTAAATGTTATTAACGCCTTTATTTAAAGCTTTATAAATAAAAAAGTATATATTAAAATACCACCTGGCCCCTGGCGCGTTAAAAGTAAAGTATTTAAGTTAAATTAATTTTTATATAACCTTAAATAATTACCGCGCATTTAGTAAAAAAAAATATTTTTAATACTTTTTAAATATAGCTTTAAGCTAGTGCCAAAAAAGCCTTGCCTTTTTATTATAAAGTATTTTATAATTATTTTTTTTATGTCAGGGCCAACGTTTTTCCGTTTGACGTCACCGGAGCCGATCCACCGTTGGTCCGGAGTTGGCGCCTGAGCTTTGGCCTCAGGCCGCCAAGGCTTGGCATACCTTACCACCACGTCGGGCTATATAACTTAACTGGGTTGTTAGTGTTTAGGGTCTTGGCTACTAGTTAGGCAAGGCTAGGGTAGGCCCTAAGTATAGGCCAGAGTAAGGACCCGTGCGTAGAGTATTTAAACCTATATTTACTTCCTAGTTAAGAATAGCTTAAGCATAGCTTAGAGGTTTATAAAGGTGGCCTTAAGGCCAGCCTTTTTTAAAATCTTTAAGCAACTTTTTTAGTATTATTTAACGGGGTTTAAAATACTTTATTCTTATTAGTTAGATTCCTTTATTAATATTTTTATTATTAGTAAAGATCTTTAAGACTTATTAGTCTTATAGTTAGAGTTGCTTTCACCTACTA